TCATCCCTTAGTGAGATTCTCCATGAGAGATCTAGGTCTTGTGGTAGCCTTCCTCAAGGCTGTTCCATTTGCACAATTTTGAGGCATCTTCAACACATCTTATTGACTTGGAACAAGCATGCTCCTTCTCTTGACCTACTGATGCTTCTGTCGAACAAAGTACAGAATTCCCTAGCATGGTGTCTCCCCAGCCCACCCTTGACAATGTTGAAGTCTTTACTGCTTTATCACTGGTAAATGATGGTGACAGATGCAAGTCTTTCATGCTGGGGAGGAATGTGCCAGTCCCTGACAGTTCAGGGAAACATGGTCATTGGTGGAAGTTAAGCTCCCCATCAATATCCTGGAGCTCAGAGCATTAAGAATAACTCTGCAACACTGGACCCCCTTTCTGCAAGAACACCCAATCAGGCTGCAATCAGACAACGCCACAGCTGTAGCCGATATTATCCACTAAGGGGACACCAAGAGTTACGCAATTTTTAATGGTAGAAAGTTAGATCATCTTGTGGATGGATACTCAATGTTGAGCAATCTCTTCAGCTCTTCTAGCCCTTCACCCCAACATCCTGAGCCTTGTTAGAGATTGGGGACCCCAAAACTGGATATCCTGGCCTCCAGATTCAAGAAGCTACCTCTGTAACCAGGACAAAGGGTCCTCTAGTACTGGCTTTAGATGCCTTGATAATCCCCTCATCTCCATTCAGGCTAATCTGCCTTTCCTTCAGTCCAAATTCTACCTTGCTTGCTCCACAAAATAAGACAGAGAAAAAACTGATTCTCATTGCACCAGACTAGCCCACAAGACCCTGGTACACAGACATATTCTGATTACTAGGAGATAACCCCTGGTCCCTTCCCAACAGGGCAGACGTGTCTCTGCGCCCTCTTTTCCATTCTACTTTTCAGTCATTGGCTTTGATGTGTGGCTGTTAAAACCCAGGCCCTAAGGGACAGAGTGGTCTCTGAGCAGCATTCCTATATTGCTGAAAGCAGGAAAAGCTACTTCCAGAAAGATCTACTATAGTACCTGGAAATCCTCCGTTTCTTGGTGCAAACACATACACTTCAGTCCCAAAGATTACGCCTTGCATTCTGGCCATTCTACATTTAGGATTTAAGCCTCTGAAAAGTCAGGTTTCAGCCTTGTCCATTCTTTCAATACTCTCTGGCCTTACTCCACTTTGTCAAAACCTTTTATCCAAGTTGTATCTTGGATTAGGCCCCCTTTTGTAGCACCCTGTCCTCCCTTGGGACTTGAACTTTGTTCTCTCTGCCCTGCAGAAACCACCCTTTGAACCCATAAGGGATATTCCCTTAAGTGACAACTTTTGCAAAATAGTTTTCTTGGTTGCTATCATGTCTGTCAGATATGTCTCTGAACTGGCGGCTTGCCTGTATGGAGCGATTACTCACAAAGACAAGGTAATCCTACACTCAAGACCATCCTTTCTAAGGGAGTCTTCCAGCTCTGCACAGACATTGTGCGTCCATGTTTATGCCCTACTTCAAAGCACTCAAAGGAAATTGCTCTTTATTGCCTGGAAGTAGTCAAAGCAATAAGTCTACCTCAAACCTTTCAGAATCCTTGCAAGAGACATCCTGCTTCAAAGTCCACCATCACTCAGTAGATAAGACATCCTATTACCAGAGCTTACACTGTAAAGAACAAAACCCCTTCTTTTATGTGCTCACTACACCAGGTAGGTGAGTGTTTCCTGGGCTTTCATGGCCCACCTTTGTGAGTAAGTAAAGTGCACACCTCCATTCATTACAGGACGCACTCTACCCTTCCTTTTAATTTCTTGGTTATTCTGCATTGCTTGCTATAGAACAGAGGACTAACAGAGTTTTGTAGGATTATAGGTCAGGCTTTGCCAGTGTCCACTCACCTGAAGGTGTGAGTTTATAACTCTGGGTCTATGAATGTGTCCTGCACTTTACTCCCAAGGCTGGAAATGTACAGGTAAGTTAAAAATCCATTTACATCCATAGTCAGGCAGCACAGTGACTAAATGGTTAGCACTTTACGCCTGGCAGTTCTAGGGCCATTGGTTCAAATCCCAACCATGGCACCACCTGCCTGGAGTTTGCATGTTCTCCCTGCGATGTGTGAGTTTCCGCCGGGTACTCCGGTTTCTTCCCTTTTTCCAAAGAAATGCTGGTAGGTTAAGTGGATCCTTTCTAAATTGGCCCTAGTATGTGTATGTATGATTGTAAGTTAAAGATCTTAGATTGATTGCCCCTTGAGGGTTAGGGGCTGATGTGAATGTATAATATATATGTAAAGCGCTGCGTAAATTGACGGCGCTATATAAGTACCTGTAATAAATAGTTATAATTAGTACAACAAATTGTTTTTGTATACATAATATAGTTAATTGATATAAAATATACAGTCATATATGCAGCTCTATAATCCTATAGGACTGCAATTTCCAATTGTTACATCTTAATACTGCATAGATAAATGATCGTAATCCTCTTGTCTAAAATCTGTTCTCTTCATATAAAACTGCATATTGACGATACTGTAACTTAGAAACTACTGTTAATGTCATGAAGTTTAGTTCATCCACCTTGGCACTTTATGTAGCTGTACCATTTAAGGTTGTGGCACAGGTGTATGTAGTGATAGACTCCTCTGAAAGCAGGACCCTTTCGAATCTCCCCTGGGGCAGGTTAGCATATAGCAGGGCAAACATGTCCCCTGCATTGGGAGACAATAGGAACCATTGAATGAAAAGATACTACAAATCAGTATCAGTTCTTTGGTCTGCTCTGAGTACAGTAGTGAGTAGTTACAGTCAATTGTTGCTCTCTACTTTGCCCCTCCAGCGCTCACTGGAGCTAGGGACTGTGGAGGGGTTGGGAGTAACTGGCTCAGGCTGTCAGCGGCGAGCTGGGAGGCTGAGATACCTGCTGGTCAGGCATCTGTGCGGATTCCAACATTGCCGGGCTCCCTGCAGAGCCTAGATTGGCTCTGTGACATAAGCCTGCTGTCGGCCGAATCTGGGTCACTGGAGTGCAGAACTAATTGCACTCCTGCGACCTGCAGGAGAAGTATGGCCAAAAAAGCATTGGCCATACTTCTTTAAGATGAATTTATTTTATAAGGCGTACTAGATTGGCTTATTCAAGAAATGTGCCTACCACCTCAATCCTACATTTATGTGGGATGCTGGAATATAATCCTTCAATATCTGTAGCTACTAGAAGTTGTCCAGGCAAAACGATGGTTCCGTAAGGCATTTTATCATGTCCTGAATGAATGAAGAACATGATTTGCATGGGGTCTCAGGTATTGAGTCTTGGGGAACTTGCTAAATGTAGGCACTTAAATGACAAGTTCACATTTCATAACCTGTTCATGTTACATCCATATTCACGGTGTAGCATGCTACGAACAGACTGCTTTTATATTTGACTGATGTTTTGTGGCACCTTTAAATTCCTGTGTGATGGTTTTTTTAATATTGATATAGGGATGTGCTGTTAATACCAAACTGTAGGAATCTTATTATTCAGATGTCCTCTTGATAATGTTGTGTTCTTTACATCGCTGCCCATTCAGACTTCTTAGCAAACGCAAAGATGATCCTTCTCTGATATATTCACGCCAGATGCGGTGGGACTGCGTTGGGCAGCTATTCCTGCAGGTCCTACCACATGACAAAGCAAAATGCCTTTTCTCCTTATGTATTTATCAGTGGCGTGCAGGTGATGTGCAGTACTTTTTTTTTTTTTTTTTTTTTTTTTTTTCTTCTTCTTCAGTGCAGCACAGGGTGAGGCTATCCACTGCCCTGCAACACGTGGCAACCAACTGAACTTTGAGATTTCTATGTGACATTTCAATAAACTGTTTTATTAAAAAAAAAAAAAAGCAAACCGTGTAATGCGCTGATCTGGCCAGACCACACCGCACACCATCAGCTGTGTTGTAACGCATTGGCTGTTGTGTATGTACTCTTATAGTCATAAACTTGTGTGGGAGAGAGCAGTGGGCCAGTTCAGAAGAGGCTTGGCTTTTTGAGAGTGCCTTTTCTTTCACTTGAAAGAGTAAAAGAGGTACTTTATTTGATGATGCATTATGGGGGTGGGAAAGAAGAAAAAGAATAAAGATACATATTGATTGATCTTGTTTGAAGGTGGACTTGATTATGGTAACTTGTGTAGCTAAGGTTTATGTGGTGTCTATTTATTAATACTTGCTTTGGTATTATGTTTTTGAAGAATTATGTCATGGGAAAATACTAACTATATTACAATTGAGACCTTCCCTGCACTGAAAGTTATGGGGTATTAACTAATGCTCAGATGAGGTTTGCTGAAGTATCATACTGTCTACCTGTGTCTCTGTTACTGTTACATATTGACAAATTTATATTACCTTTGTCAGGGTAGCTATGCATTATATTTAAGCAGTCTGCAACTTTAATGTATTTGCTGGGTTTTGCAGAGGAATTCATTTATACGGCGGCATGAGATCTTAAGGGGGGAGGGGGAGGGTTTATTGTGGGTTTGCATTGCACATATTTTTTATAATTTGAGCACGTGTGAGATTCTACATGTTAGATCTGTACTGGTATTATATAATTTAGGGTGAGTGCTAACTAAAATAATTTTTTAAACAGAAAATCACCCTTTAACACAAACATGCCAACGTTTTAAAAGTAAATGCCCTAATGAAGAGCAGACCCCTGCCATGACCCTTGACTTGGGGCTGGGGCACCACAGTATAGATCAAACCCATGCATGTTTCTCCTATCCAGTGACAATGTTTTTATTGGCTCTTGAGACACTCTGCTTGGATAGTGAAGTGGTGGGTGAATGAACCTTAGCATTGGGGAAGCCAAACCCTAAGTAACCTAGAAACTAAGGTCAGTGGTTGTAAGGAGACTTTAAACGAACAAAAGTAGTACTGGCAACCTTGCGGTTAACTCTGAGATTAGTCAATGTTGCTTTTTATAAATACTTTAAGAGAATTTCTTTTTTTTCAGTTGAGGAATCAGAGCTGCGATAGCCTTTGCTTGGCTGGTGATTTTATTGCTGCATCCATTTCTGACCCTGCTGACCTAAATCACAATAATAGGTAAGCATATTGTACAAGGTTTTAATATGCAAGACACATTCGCTTTCAATTACAAAATGTTATTGGGACAAGTGAACTGAATGTGATTTGTTTCAAAATCATGTATACCATACGCTGTTCAGCCTTCCCAAAATGGTGAGATTTTTCCAACCCATTCATTTTTTTTTTATTGGTTGAAAGCATTTAAAGTGTTCAAAACCCTAGAAATAAAAATGTTTCTGTTTGAGGGTTGCTATGAGCTTTTTAATATGAATATTTTTGTGTCTGCAGTGCTTCTGAATTTCCTGGTTGATCCTGCTGGTTCCCTTCTTCCTGGTAGTAAACTGACCACTGTAGGCATGGCAGCCGATCCATGCTAGCATGGTCTGTTTACGTCCTCCCTCATTCCACTGTTTTATACAGGCACACTGTGAAAGCATATGGCATGCCTGTATCTTCTGTAGTTGGTGTAAGACCACTCAGACACCTCCTTATCCCCTCCCAGTCTATTCTCTTTGTTAAGCTGCCATGTCTCCGAGACACATGATCTGAGGAGGCAGCGGTGACAGCAGCAGATATCTCAATGAACAATTTCCAAAATTGACAAAACAGTTTCCTAGAACATTTCTTTAGCTCATTAACTGAAAGTAAGGTTAATAATATAACTTAGATTACAAAATCTTCAGTTTTAGTCAAATTAATTGATGCAAAAATGAATACACCCCACAACAAAAAGGACTACATCTAGTATTTTATGTGACCTCCATGATTTGTAAGGACAGCACCAAGTCTTCCAGGCATGGAATGAACAAGTTGGCGACCTACTGCAATATCGATCTTTTCCATTCAAGAACAACTTCTTTTAGAGCCTGGATTCTGGATGGAGAGATATGCTGGATGGAGAGTGATGCTTAAATTGTCCCTTCAGAATTCCCCATAGGTTTTTGAGTGGGTTCAGATCAGGAGACATACTTGGCCACTGAATCACTTTCACCCTATTTGTCTTCAGAAATACAATTGTGGCCTTAGATGTATGTTTTGGATCATTGTCATGTTGGAAAAGTGCACGATGACAAAGGGCACAGAGTGATGGTAGCATCTTCTCTTTCAATACAGAGCAGCACATCTGTAAATTCACAATACCATTAACGAAATACAGCTCCTCGACACCAGCAGCACTCATGCAGCCCCACAGAGGGACACTGCCACCACCATGTTTCACTGTAGGCACCATGCATTTTTCTTTGTACTCCTCACTTTTGCGACGCTGTGGAGTTTTGAAGCCATCAGTTCCAAAAATATTCATGTTGGTCTCTCGTCACTCCAGAGTACAGAGTTCCAGTAGCCTTCTTTTTCAGCATGGGCCCTAGCGAATTCTAGGTGGGCTTCTTTGTGCATTGGCTTTAGGAGAGGCTTCCTTTGTGGATGACACCCATGCATGCCATTCCTCTGCAGTGTACGCATATTGTGTCACGGGAACCAATCACCGTAGTTTGGCTTTCTACTTCTTTACCTAACTGCAGTGAACTTGCATGGCAATTTTCTTCAACCCTTCTCATCAGAAGATGCTCCAGTCAAGTTAACTTCCGTGGACGGCCTGGACATCTCTGTGGGATGTTGCAGTTTAACCTTTGTTACAAATTTTGTATCACTTTTGCTACAGTATTCTAACTGATAAGTAAAGCTTTTCTGATCTTGTAGCCTTCACCTTTCTCAGGCCTTGGGGCATTTCTCTTCCATGTGGTGCCATTGCTGACAGTATGAAATGGGAAGAGTTTTTTTCTTTAACCATTAGCCGCCCGGCCAATGGCCGTTTGGCGGCTTCAGATTGTGTATTCCGGGTGCACGCCATTTGGCGTGCTCCCGCACATGCGCCGTTTGCGCTAGTGCAGAGCGGCGCAGCAGTGCGATCTGTCATCGGCCGTGCACCTCGGACACGGCCAATGACAGATCCGAGTACCGGCTCCCGTTGCTGGTACCATGTGACCTGCTGTGACCAATCACAGCAGGTCACATGACAGTTGTATACAATGGATGGCTTCATTCATGATGCCATCCATTGTATACTAGTGCCTAGCTGTGAATGGTCACAGCTAATCACATGCACATGTCATGTGATTAGCTGTGACCAAATCACAGCTAAGCACAAAAAAAAAAATAAAAAGCTGAATGAATCGATTTCATTCAGGTAAATGCTTGCTTATAGCAAAGTAATTCTTTGCTATAAGCAAATTGTGTAAAAAAAAAAAAAAAAAAAAATACTGATCACTTCCCCAAAGTAGTACAATGTTACTATGGTAACATTGTACTCTTTTGGTCATAGTAAAATATGAAAAAAAATCTTAAAAATAAAAAAAAATTAAATATAATAAAAAAATATTTATTTTTCTTTTCATACTGTTACCAGTCAGTGTCCCTGTTCACCGCCATGCCAGTTATACTGCACTGGTGACAGTATGTAAAAAAAAAAATAGTGAAAATAATTTTTTTCATTTTTTCATTTTCCGAAAAAATTATGACAAAAAAATACAAAAAAAACTCGCCATGCCTCTTATGAAGTACGTCGGACTGTCTACTCTGCAAAAAGGGGTCATTTGGGGATATCTGTACTATTCTGACATTCTTGGACCTCAAGAAATTAGATTGGCCGTCAGTACTTCAGGATTGATCAATTTCCAGATCTATACCATAGTTTGTGAACTCTATAACTTTCCTACAAACTAAAAAATACATCCTAATTTGGGTTATTTTCACCAAAGACATGTAGCAGAATACATCTCGGCCTAAATTTATGAAGAACAATTATTTATTTGTAAACTTTCATAACAGAAACAAATGAAAAATGTGGTTTTTTTTCAAAATTTTTGGTCTTTTTTTTGTTAATTTAGCAAAAAATAAAAACCCCAGTGGTGATTAAATACCACCAAAAGAAAGCTCTAGTTGTGTGAAGAAAATGATAAAATTTTAGTTTTGGTACAGTGTTGTATGACCACGCAATTGTCATTCAAAGTGTGAGAGCGCTGAAACCTGAAAAATGGCCTGGGCAGGAAGGTGTAAAATTGCACGGTATTGAAACGGTTAAGTAATGCCCTTTTATAATCAACTGTCTGCTGGACACCTGTTTAATGAATAATTAGATTTACCTGTAGTTGAATTCTTGTTAATTAGGATTTTGTTGTCTAAAATTTAGCTTTGCTCTTAATATTTCCATTGGGGTGTATTCATTTTTGCAATATGGTCTTGCATGAATTTGTTAGGAAATATACTTTTGTGTGTGTGCAAATTAAAAATATTATTTGTAATCAATGGACCGCATTTGCGGGAATATTTGTAGTATAGTGTCCCATAGAAAATGTTGATTCTGAAATGAAAGTAAAGGTTTGTTGACAAATCTGTTGCTGTGTGTGTATGTGTGTGTATATATGTATATATGTGTGTGTGTGTGTGTGTATATATGTGTATATATATATGTATGTATGTGTATATATGTATGTATGTGTATACATATTCACATTTTTTAAATATTTTATTATTCTTTTGATGTGACAACACTGAAGAAATAACACCTTTGCTACAATGTAAAGTAGTGAGTGTAGCTTGTATAACACTGTAAATTTGCTGTCCTCTCAAAATAACTCATCACACAGCCATTAGTGTTTAAACCGCTGGCAACAAAAGTGAGTACACCCGTAAGTGAAAATGTCCAAATTAGGCCCAATTAGCCGTTTTCCCTCCCTGGTCGGTGTCATGTGACTCGTTAGTGTTACAAGGTCTCAGGTGTGAATGGGGAGCAGGTGTGTTTTAAATTTTGGTTTTATCACTCTCACGTATATGTGTTGTGTGTGTATATATGTTATATATATGTATGTATGTTATATATGTGTGTGGTGTATACATATTCACATTTTTTAAATATTTATTATTCTCTCATATACTGGTCACTGGAAGTTCAACATGGCACCTCATGGCAAAGAACTCTGAGGATCTGAAAAAAAGAATTGTTGCTCTACATAAAGGTGGCCTAGGCTATAAGAAGATTGCCAAGACCCTGAAACTGAGCTGCAGCGCGGTGGCCAAGACCATACAGCGGTTTAAGAGGACAGGTTACGCTCAAAAAGGGCCTTGCCATGGTTGACCGAAAAAGTTGAGTGCACGTGCTCAGCATCATTTCCAGAGGTTGTCTTTGGGAAATAGACGTATGAGTGCTGCCAGCATTGCTGCAAAGGTTGAAGGGGTGGGGGGTCAGCCTGTCAGTGCTCAGACCATACTCCGCTTACTGCATCAGATTGGTCTGCATGGCTTTTGTCCCAGAAGGAAGCCTCTTCTAAAGATGATGCACAAGAAAGCCCACAAGCAGTTTGCTGAAGACAAGCAGACTAAGGACATGGAATACTGGAACCATGTCCTGTGGTCTGAAGAGACCAAGATAAACTGATTTGGTTTAGATGGTGTCAAGCATATGTGGTGGCAACCAGGTGAGGAGTACAAAGACAAGTGTGTCTTGCCTACAATCAAGCATGGTGGTGGGAGTGTCACGGTCTGGGGCTGCATGAGTGCTGCCTGCACTGGGGAGCTACAGTTCATTGAGGGAACCATGAATGCCAACATGTACTGTGACATACTGAAGCAGAACATGATCCCCCTCCCTTTGGAGACTGGGCCACAGGGCAGTATTCCAACATAACGACCCCAAACACACCTCCAAGACTACCACTTCCTTGCTAAAGAAGCTGCGGATAAAAGTGATGGACTGGCCAAGAATGTTTCCAGACCTAAACCCTATTGAGCATCTTTGGGGCATCCTCAAATGGAAGGTGGAAGAGCACAAGGTCTCTGACATCCACCAGCTCCATGATGTCGTCATGGAGGAGTGGAAGAGGACTCCAGTGGCAACCGGTGAAGCTCTGGTGAACTCCATGCCCAAGTGGGTTAAGGCAGTGCTGGAAAATAATGGTGGCCACACAAAATATTGACACTTTGGGCCCAATTTGGACATTTGCACTTAGGTGTGTACTCACTTT